TTCACAGCCTTACTAAATATATATCCAAATTCAAGTAAATAATTATGTGGGAATCCAACGTTCCCAGCCACTAGGGAACACACAGCCATGTTTACATATAGAGCTAAACAGCCGTCTAGTGGTTACTTAATGGTATTACAGATGATAAATGGTGAATAAATTCCCAATAAGTTAGAGATAATAAATATTTTAGAAATATTTAGTAAAAATCCCCTTAAATTACAACATGTTAAAGTAAAAAAATATATATTATTGAACCAAATTTTAGTTTTAAAAAAATGGAATCGTCCCTGATCAGTAGACAGGTGAAATTATACATGTATTAAACTAGTGCAGATACTAGGCCATCTTTAAATATCATCAAAATTACAATATTACAATAAACTAATATATCATATATAGCCTGTTGAGGAAGAAAATTATACTACACAGCTCGATATTCAGTATGAACACATAGCCTAATGGTACGCAACTTATAAAGTATAATGTTTTAATTAAGTTGTTATTTGTTTATTTATTTTTAATGTATGTGTACATTAAAAGTACCATTCTGGTAGCGAGAACGATCCTGAACTAAATGAAGATTAATGTTTTGGCGTGTGATGTGTTTATTGAACCAATCGGATAAGAGTAAATGGAGAGTCCGCGAGAGCTTCATTTGATTGGCTACAAGAAGTTGGTGGACCCGCCCTCCCCCTCACTGCTTGCAAAACTCAGTGAGTGAGAGAATCGGAGCTGTACATATCGGTTTATTTCGGAAACTTTTTGCCCCACATGCACAAGAAGTAATTTAGACATTTGCAACAGTTTGTTGTTTTACACATACAGATTGGTTCTATGCAGTCAATCCGTTGTGCAGTTCTTTAAACTGTTGTTTTCGCTTGCAAATCACTGGCTTGCAGTACTTTTGACCGTATTTTAGCGAAAACAACGTGCCAAAAGTGTAAGCGCGGAAAAATGGAAGCCAGAAGCATGCAGATCATATTTATTTTGCGTTAGCATGAAGCTGCAGTTTCAGAATACATGAATTACACTTACGAGTAACAGTAAAATGCTGCAAATAATTTTTTCTTACGCTTGAAACGCGATTTACACCTTTACAAAGCTTCTCTTGCGCATGCAAATTTAATTTACGCTTACAGTCTTACGTACACTTCCACAACTCTTACCCTGTGTATGCAAATATTTTAGGCATTATTTTACCTTCATAGTTTCAGTCACTATTTCATATTCGTCCCGTTGTCTGACAACAGATACAGAAAAATATATCAGTGAAAACAGTTTTATTGAGAATCTGGCTGCATTAAAATACAGTTCGTGAGCAGAGGCAAACAAACGTAGAAGGCATGTATGACGCAATGACGTCGTGAATATGCTAATTAGCGTATGACGTAATCTAGTGACATTTAGCACTTTTCAAGCGTCATATAATCACAACTATGCACTGTTTTTAACCACAGGTTTATTTTAGGTTTCACACATTTAAAAACACATAAATGCTAGTAAAACAATACATTTAGAGTTTGTAAAATACACACGGATGCCTATGGAAGCAGCGATAACAATCCATTCAAATATAATTTGCAGACGTGTTCTATTCATATCAGATACACATCGTGTAAGTAACTATATAGTTCACTTTATTTTTCTCCCAGTTCTCCAGCCACTTACTTACATGTATTTCGGGAGAAACTAATACATTTACTTGCTGTAAATCCGACTGACAGACAGGGCTCTCGGAGCTGCGGCGCCCATCTCATGTTATGGATCACGATCAAGATCATTTATAAAGGTTTTTAAACGACAAAACACACTCATTTGCACATATATGCGAATCGGAATATCAGATAGTTGATGACATGGTAAGCAAGTTAGTGGATATTTTGAAGAAAAAAGGAAAAACAGAAATAAAATCGATATAACGTTGCAGTGTTTTCGGTTTGTCACGTGACAAGCATGACGCATCGCCATGGAAACGATAAAGGGAAACGTTTTATAATAACGGTCGCCTAAAAAACTCACTCTGGGGCTCTGGGGGGACAGCTAGAATATTTTAAACTCACCAGTGAAAGGGTTAAAATGATCACGTGGCTTTGCGCTTTCCTTGCCGAGCAGCAGGTGGCGCCAAATCCAACACAGTGACGTCAGTGACTCGGGCCTCAGTTCAGTCTGCTAGACCCACATCCACCCGAGTACCGGCTTATCTGGTTTATTTGATCTCATTTGATCATCATTTTTATCTTTTAGTGTTTGAACTGCCATAGAAACGGAAAGTAAAAAATGTTGACTGACTACAGTCGTGTTTGTGAAGTTACAACACAAACACCGCCAACCAGATTTAGTGATTTATAAACAAGAAATTCAGCTCCATCCCAGATTAAATGTTTCAGGTGAACACAAAATAAAAAAAAATATTTTAAAATACAGGACATTTTTGAGCAGTCTTAATCCTTCACATGTAGTATTTTGTTGTATTTGTAAAATATTTGCTGAGACAACTAACGTTATTCATCCATGTGAATTTATGTGGAGTTTTAAACAGGATTATGCTAGTTTGGTGTTGGTTTATGCTTGTTTATCACGTTTTGTGCTTGTTATTTTGTTACTGGATTGGTTGCTAGTCTAGTTGGCGGATTTTTTTAGTGTTATTAATATGGTAAATTAATATGATATTGCTGGTTTAGAAAGTGAGCAGGAATGTTAAAGGGGTCATATGATGCTGCTAAAAAGAACATTATTTGGTGTATTTGGTGTAATGAAATGTGTTTATGCAGTTTAAAGTTCAAAAAACACATTATTTTCCACATACTGTACTTTGAGACTTTAGTCTTTGCAACTTTACAGATCTTCTTTATGCACCAAGAGCTTGTAACACTCCAAAAAGAAAGCAAAAATTTAAATCGCATCATATGACCCCTTTAAATAGCCAGCAAACCACACGTAACCTGGTAACGTTACTGAAGTAGTGATGCTTCACCGTGTATATTCATATTGATAATGATACATACTGGTACTGTATTTTAAATACAAATGATCTACCGTGGTACAAATACAAGCATTACATGTGTGAATATACTGTGTCTGTTCAGTTGGGGTTCTTTATGTGTTTTGCTTGTAATCAAGTTTGTTCATTTTAATGCAACAATGCCAGTCTATATATACACTCATGAATTGTAGGCTAATAAGTATCGCTTTTTATTTCTCCTCTTTCCTATTACTTGTTTCACTTCTGTTTCAGTTTTTATAACCATTTCTTACTATGTGTCACACATGTGTAGTTGTTTTTTTTGGTGTTTGGCTTAGTGTTATGTTAGAATCGTTATTATACTCTTATACCTTTTGTTCTTTACTATTTTGAATCGTTTTTAGCTTTATGGAATTTTGTTGTATGCATTTGTCATTTTTATTTAATCTCTTTATTTAAAGTGTGTGTATAGGTAGTATTTATAACGTTTTAGCTTTTAGTTTTGGATCTGTTTTTAGTTGTTTTAATACTACAATTGATTGCTTCTGTTGTCCTCATTTGTAAGTCGCTTTGGATAAAAGCGTCTGATAAATGACTAAATAAATAAAATGAATTGTCATTGTTTCTTACAGGAATCATCATGCAACACCAGGAGCATCACATCATGTTCATGGACTTCTGTGAGGACAGACACTATCTGCTGGAGGACGATGTGAGTGTTTGAGATCCATACAGATTCAGACTGTAAAATCATTTTGATTCTTGTATCCCTACCTTTGACTGTTAGTATAAGTTCACATTCTGACTCAGAACTGCCCAGTTAAACAGATGGAGACCGTCTGATTTACTTTTTGTGCCTAGCAGAAGTATTTATCTAAAGCGGCTTATAAGTGAGGAAAATCACGGGCAATTTGTCATAATAAGCGCCAATAATATTTGCAGTATGTAAAATAATTATCTATACACAGAATTTACATTTACATTTACATTTAGTCATTTAGAACTTTTCTACGACATTCTAATTTATTGAGATGCACCTGTAGATAGAATAGAAAAAATATAAAGCTAGTGTTTGTTTGTTTTTTGTTGTTTTTTTTTATTTAAAAAAAAATTAAAAAAGAAGGTAAAGTAGAATTAAAATAGAATAGAAAGTGTTAGAGTTAGAGGGTCAAATAAAGGTGGAACAGATGTGTTTTTAGTCGTTTCTTGAAGATGGTTAAGGTTAATATAGATATATATTTATATATTATATTTAGAGTTTTTAACTTAATATTTCAATAATTCATCAACACATTTGTATGTACATGGTTCTCTGATATCAGTTAATGACATGCAGGAAAAAAAATTATCAAATCTTTTTTTTTTAGAAAGTGTTTTACTTATTTATCTTTTTTTATTGTTTAATTCTGTAATACGTTTTCATCAACCCTGTCCTATGGGTTTTTAAACAAAATAAATGTGAATAAGTTATGAAAGTTGTCATTTTTGGGTGAGCTATTCCTTTAAATACACTAGCGAGGGTGAAACATTTTTGTCAGGCCAACCCAAAATATTTATTTGAGTTCATTAATATTTATTTTAAGAGTTTTTAACGTAATATTTCAAGTAATGGTTCTCTGATGGCGGTTAATGATATGAAGGGTAACAACTAAATTATTTAATCTTTTTTATTTTCAGAAAATATTTGATTTATTTGTTCATAATTCATTTACATTTTTATCAGTAATTAATCATTAACTTTTCATCAACCCTCTGCTATGAGTTTGAAACGACGAGCTTCGACGGGTTTTGACGAGCTGGTAAACAAATAAATTATTGAATCTTTTTTAAGAAAGTGTTTAATTAAATAATTCTTTTAATTTATTTAGCATTTTTATGATTTAATTCATTCTTTTTTAGAAGATGTTTAATTTTGATTTTATTTATTTAGTTTTTAAGTTATTTACTCTTTTTTTTATTTTTTATTTAAGCTATTATTTTTATTATTTATTATTTTTATTATTTAATTATCTTTTCAACCCCTGTTTCGGCCCTGTCCTATTAAGCAACAACATGAGAGTAAATAAATTTGGGCTGAACTATTGTTTTAAATTGACTAGTGAGAGTGTGAAAGGGAGTTTTTCTAAAAGTTCAATGAGCCCATAGTTGAAGAAACACTCATAAACATACATACAGATTTCAAACTTTTGTTCTTTAAAATTAGTACTTTTTAATATAAATCTTCTATTGAGGGTCATGAAATGAATGGATGTGATTTGTGGAGTTTTTCAGGGGTATGACAGCAGATGTGTGTGGGGGAGTGAGGGGTAATTTTAACTATGAGCAAGAGCTTTAGAGAGAGAGAGAGGCTGCGCCGTACGGGTGAGCGGCGGGATCCGTAAGCAGGGCTTTTCTTTGCGTTCGGGGATCTTGGCTCGAAGCCCAACTGGCGTTTTTGTAATCAAGGCATGATCCGGGACTCCATGCGCTTCTTCCCCGAGCCGCGTCGGCTGCCTGCCGTTTGGAAGGGTCCCAGATTTCCCTGCTGACATGAACAGAGCTGTGAGTGCCACTGTTTCTCATTCTTCCACTAGCTTTTTCTCACTCCCACTCTTTTGTACACATCTTTGCTCTTCTCCGGATCCCGCTCGTTTCTTTTGCAGCAGTCTGGATGAGGATGGTAGCTGCAACTAAGCTTGCCGTCAGATGTGCGTTCGTCTTACGCTCCCCAGAGGAACGAGGCCTGGGTTTGGGCACGAGAGCGTCCGTCAGCTGACAGTTAGAGCCGCTGTGTTGGGCTATTTGACATGTGATCCGTACGGATGAGAGGGAAGCGCAGGAAGCGGCCGCTGGAATGTTCCCTGTCCTTTTGCAGCACTGATGATTCACGTTGACTCGTGTTGCGCTGGATTTTCGTCTGTGTTTGTACCTCTGCGAGGTTTGTTTTGGTCCCCTGACAACCGAAGTGTCTGTGAGTTCTGTGCACACTTCCACACTTCCCTTCAAAACATAATCGCTTAAGATGCTTTTTAAAAAGGGATCGTTCAGCCGAGTTCATTTAATCCTATGCGATTTTTGCGTTGAACACAAAAGGAGATATTCTGAAGAATGCTTAATGGAATTGTTCAGCCAAAAATGGTAATTTGCTGAGAATGTCTTCACCCTCAGGCCAGACAATATAAGGATGAGTTTGTGTCTTCATCAGGTTTGGAGAAATGTAGCATTGTTAAAAACATCTTAATAATGTATTTTCTTTTTACAAACACAAAGTTTTCACTCCATAAGACATTAACTGATGGACTGGAGTGGTGTGGGTTACTTGTGGATCATTGTATTGTTTTTATCAGCTGTTTGGACTCTCATTCTGACGGCACCCATTCACTGCAGAGCATCCATTGCTGAGACACTGATGCAATGCTACATTTCTCCAAATTTCTCTAATCTTGTCTAGCCTGAGCACATTTTCAGCAAATTAAAATTTTTGGGTGAACTATTCCTTTGAGTCTTGTTTTCCACGCAATAAACATAGATAAGGTGCATTTATACTTCTCCTTAAAGTATCCTGCAATTCATTTTAAAAGTCATCTGAAGTCCTATGATGCTTTATGAGAGGAACAGACTGAAATTTAAGTGGTTATTCACTGAAAATCCCTTTTGCTGTAGCTCCTAAATCATTTTCTGCAAATATATTCCAGAGAACAATCACACGGCTTCAGGATGGTGCTTGTATGGTGCTTCTCTGTCAATTTTTGCAGCTTTTCAGTAAAAATCACCATCCACTTTCACATTTCTTGCTTTCATGTTCCACAGAAAAAAAGCAAGTCAAATGGGTTTGAAACAGCATGTGTGAGTAAATGATGACTGGTTGTTTATTATGGTCGGCTCCCACAATAAACATTTGAATTATTAGACTGCATGTTTTTTTTTTCTCCCAGACATCTTGGTCTGGTCCCACATAATATGTCCATATGTCTCAGTGTGCTTAGTGAAACAGGAATGCTGGGAATCCTAACAAAGTTAAGATGTTTGGTGTTGTCTGAAGCAGGATTTATTCTGCTGATATTAACCAATCAGAATACCTTAATAAATCACATTGCAATGAGTGTGAATCTGTTTCTGGGCTCATATATTAGAATGTTATGTTTTGATTGTTGAAGTATGTCTACGTAGTGCTTCAGACTTTTTAATTTAGAAAAAGCAAGAAAATTCCTATTTGCAGATATTTAGAGAGGCTGATAAAATGCTGATGCACATTTGAATGACAGCAAAAATATGAACACAATTGCTGATTTTAAACAAACACAGTATTTTGCACTGAGAATTTGAAAACAGAGCTTGCACAATTTGAAATATTCATTACTTTTCATATTGTTTTGCATGCTTGTAGCACATCATCCATCCATTGTGTGCTGTCACTTTAAAAGCGTGCAAACACTCAAGTGCAGACGCTGCATGGGTTTTATTCAGTGGCTTTGCATGAGTGTTGAGTCATTGTATTTCACAAAGAATCTCTTCACATGAACGGCAGCTTTATCTTCCTCTTCTGCTTCAGACAGATGAGGTCAAATGTCAGTCTGAGAGGTGGAGTTTAGCGTATTGTGAGTATTTATTAAATATTTCTGGTAATGCTCTGGTTTGGCCTTGAAATACAGAGTTAGAGAGCTGGAATTCGAGTTCGACTCTCAGTAAAATGTGTGTTATTTGAGCTGTGCAGTGACTAAATGGTCCTTTTGGTGATGCAACTGAGCACTAGTAATAGAGATGCTTGTTTTAACAACCCAAAATATAATTTTGTCTTTTGTTAGAGGATGCCAGCCGTCAGTCTGTGATCTGCAGCGGTTTGCTGGGATAAAAGCATTTTTCGACCTCGAGGAATCTCTGTTTTGAGTTGAAATCTGACTCTATTCTCTCTCAAATCTCTGCAAGCCTCTTCAGATCCAAATTTACTCCGTGTGGGAGTCGCGCTGGCCTGGAGTCAGTCGGGTTATCGCACCGTAGCGCTGCTGCAGGCGCTCCAGCTTTCATTGTCTCAAATAATCCACAGATACAGGGAGATCTTGACGTTCGGTCCTGCCTGGTTTACTGACACAGTGAATAGGATGCTGTGCTAAACGTTTCTCTTCAGCTGCGCGGTGAAGTATTCGTTCCCCCGGTGCGTCCAGCATGTGCTCTTTTGCCAACTCTGCAGCCATTTAAAGAAGCTGCAGCAGTTCAGCGTGCTGTGATTGTGCTGCTGCTGCGTCAGACACATTACGCAGCTTCTTTATGCACGCTGAGCTGCACAAATAAAGCAGCTCTTTCTAAGGCCTAAGTTTGTGGCTGTGTATTTAAACTGCTATGTAAACATGATTGTGATATTAGAAATGTTTATTTGTATATTTAGGGTCTTAGTTTTTCACAAATTGAGTTTTTTTCCCCCTTTTCTTTTGTTTCCATTTTTTGTTGTTGTTTTAATTTGTCTGGATTGTTTTTTTGCTGGATTTAGTTTTTTGTATGTATGTATTTGCATTTTTCCATTCCTTTTTCTGGATTCTCCTTTTTTTTTTTTTTTTTTGGTTGATGTTTTTTTCTGGATTTAGTTTTTTTGTATGTATGTATTGATTTATTCATTGCATTTTTCCATGTATTTTTCTGGATTCTCCGTTTTTTTCTGGATTCAGTTTTTTTTTCTGGATTTAGTTTTTTTTTGTATGTATGTATTTATTTATTTATTACATTTTTTCCATTAATTTTTATGGATCCTCTTTTTTCTGATTTATTTTTTATGTATTACTTTTTTCCATTTGAATTTTTCTGGATTCACTTTTTTTTATTTATTATTATTTTTTTTCTATTTATTTTTTTTTCTTTTCTGGATTCCATTTTTCCTGTTTAAATTTTTCTGGATTGCATTTTAATGTTTAAATTGATTTATTTATTTATTTTTGGTAATCAAAAAGCATTTCTAATTAATTTAAATAATGAAACTCATACAATTTAACAGCATTTTTTTTTTTAAGTTACATTTTTTCCAGAATTCAGAATCCTATGAAATCTGTTTTATTTTTCTGTTTTCAGTAATAAATATTAGTATTGTGATTTTTACAGTTATATAAAATTATTATATTATGTTTCTTTATATTATAGTTAATGTATACTTATTATAGTTAATTTTCTTTATTATTTATTATTAATGATTTTTATTATGTTATTATTTTTATTTTACGATAGAATATTACAATAGTTATATTTTTTTAGTTTTTTAATATTTGTATTTAGTAGTGGTAATAATAATAATAAAAACAACAACAACAGTAAAAATTATTATTATAATTTTATAGTCAAAATCTTGAGTTTATTGAGCGTGTTTTGAGTGACAGCCTTTGAAATCATGGTCACATGTGAAAGTCAGACATCTTGAAACAGCTGACGGCACGAGGAGTTTAATGCGCTGAGATCATGTTGCCGCTCTTAGCAGCTGATGCTAATAATGGCGTGTGCAGTTAGATGCACAAATGCATGCAGTGTTAAAGAAACTTTTCAATTGACTGGTGTGCAACTACTTATATGCCATTGTATTTCAGTTTCCGTCCTGGACTATTTCTTCTGGGTCTCTGGAATTTTATAGACATTTACATAACATAAATACAGCTTTATTTTGTTAGATTTGGATTATGTAATTCTCTTATTTTTGCTCCAGACTGTTCAAATGTCTCCTCCACAAGTGGGCAAGGAATATGTGCAAGACCATTACGCTGCTCTTTGTGTAGAAAAAGAGTTTCATTTTCGTGCGAGACGCAGTAAATAACAGAAACCCTGCTGGCAGACATAATCTATGCGATGTTGTACAGATTGTTCGGATTATTGTGTTTGTGTATGTGATGTTGACATGTTCATAAACTGTTCAGAGTCCCACAGAAATGATGATGATGATGAAGAAGGAACACAAGGACGCAGAGCTGGATAAAAAGATCGAGGCCTTACGGAAGAAAAATGAAGCACTTATGAAACGCTACCAGGTGAAAACCTTGAAGTTACACATTTAAAATCTGTCAAAAAACACATTTAAGTTTGTAAACAAAACATTTAAAGTCACAGAACCTCATTCAGAAATAATTTATGTATTTATTGTGAAAAATAAAATGTTAAAAGATCAAAGATTCCACAGAAAAAGCACTGTGTGTGTTTGCCTTGCTGAGTTTTGTGATGTTCTGCAGGAAGTGGAGGAGGATAAGAAGCGGGCGGAGCAGGAAGGGATGTCACTCCACAGCAGGAAGGGAAAGACTGATGATCTGACCATCACCATCAACAAGTCCTCCAACGTGAGCTGCTTTATTCCTGCACAGACAAATACAAATGCCAGAGACATTTTAATGGTTATATATATATATTTCTAATTAATATATAATGGAAGTCATACAGTTTAGCAATTTATTAAAAGTTTTTTTTTCAGTCCCTAATAAATCATATAAATCAATAAATTTTTCCAAATTCTAGTTTTTAGCCATAAATATTAGTATTGTGATTTTAACAGTTGTTATATAAAATTATTATATTATTTTTCTTTATATTTTAGTTCATTGAAAATTATATTTCTTTATTTTTTATTATTATATTATTTTTATTTTTATTTTACAGTAATGCTCAAAATGCTATATCTTTATTTTTAGTCCCTGATTGGTGCTTAATAAAGATAGTGATGTTTTTTATTTTTATACTTACAGTGTAGTACTTTCATTAAATGCACCTACATTTACACTTTCTCTAAAATATATTTTCTCTAAAGTAACAGTCAGTACAGGAATTTATCTTTTCCTAACTTTATCTTTGCAGCATCAACATGTTATTGAACTGAACTGAATAAGCATAGAACAGAATTGAGCTGAATAATGTCTTCATCTACAGAAGGCATGATTGTCTTCTGTAGAGCTGCTTTATAATTGAATTCATTTCATAATAATTGATGAATTTTGCCACATGGACACTCTTATTGAACTGATCTGAATCAACATTGAACTGAATTGAGCTGAAGAAAGACACTATTGTCTGTTGTAGAGCTGCTTTACAGCTGAAATAAAATTTTGTTTATAATTGGTGAATTTTGGAACTTTAGTACTAGGGTTGGGTATCGTTTGAATTTTATCGATTCTGATTCTGATTCCTGTTCCGATTCTGCTTATCGATTCCAATTCTTATCGAGTCCTAATTCCGATTCCAATAAGATAAAAAAATCCATTAAACAAATTTTAAGTCAAATATTTATGTCTATGGTTTTATCAAAAAAAATACCACAGAAAAAAAACAACTAGACTAATATAAATTTACATTAACATTAAATTGGAATGCACGGAACAGTTCGAGAACGGACTCAGGTCGGGAACCTGCATCGGGACAGCTGTTCTCTGTGCTTGCGCTTCAGATGTGTGTGCAAGTTCTTTCCCTTCCTGCACTTAAATAATTTAAAGGCGTCATCGGATGCTCATTTTGCACAAGTTGATATGATTCTTTAGGGTCTTAATTAAAAGTCTATAACATACTTTGGTTAAAATTTCTCAATGTTAGTGTAAAAAACACCTTTTTAAACCTGTCAAAATCAGCTCTTTTTTTATCAAGCCATTATAGTCCATGTTGCTTTAAATGTTAATGAGCTCTGCTGGCCCCGCCCCTCTCTTCCGAGCTGCTCTCAGAGAAACTGTTTACTTTAGCCGCATTCATCGTGAAACTTGCTAATTAGCGCGTTATTAGGAAAGGTGATTTGCGAAGATTCATAAAAAACCCTTATGCTCACTTCTTCTGTAGATGAGGCTGGATCACGAATAATTAGAGAGAACATAGATGCATTTACGCTGATCGGGAGTGGCGCATTCACTTCAGAGCGAAAGTAACGTTAATCCTCTGCGTCTTCAGCGGCTCAGATGTCGGGAGTAAATGACGATTGCTATATTCATTATTACATCCAACAATAAAGCACCTCAATCGCTTAATCGGAGACATCTTGTCTTCCCCTGCACCAGAGTCAACACAATGGCGGACTGATGACAGCTCACTCAGGCGGGTCTAAGGTAAGACGCAAGTCCAGTCTGTGCTGAAACGCTACTGTCAATCAAACTATCATGGGAGGGGCCTGT